CGGCCGTACTGAAACCAGAACGGGCCGTTCCATATCAACAATTAACAAACAAAAAAATTCAAGCAGAACGACCCGTTCTAGATGAACAAATAACAATAAATAAATAAAAAAATTGAGTAGAGAAGAAACTAACCTCAAACGTGTAATGTGCAGGCTCTTAGAGACTTAGAAACGTGCCATGCGGAAACAAAGGAACTTAGAGACTTAGAGAATAAGAGAAGAAGTAATAGTTTTCATAAACAATGGGACGCGCGTGAATGAGAAATGAAACGTTGGACATTTTAGTGGGAAATTTACGTCGGACAAGCGGGGTCCGACGTAAATTAGCCAATCTACGTCGGCTACAAGATTCCTCCGACGTAGATTGTCTAATTTACGTCGGAGCCCCCTCTGTCTGACGTAAATTAGTCTCTCTATATTTACAAAACTACCACCACATTTTTATAACGTCGGGTTTTCTTGTTTTCGATGTAAATTAGGTGACGTAGTGTACAACGGACAAAATCCTTGCTCCTATCTCTTTTTTTGTTGGTATTGATGAAATAATAATAAACATGGATTTATGTTGTCCATCAAATATGGTGAAATCATAGTATGATAGAACTGATCACCAAATATGGCCACTCAAAAAATGATAGAAAAGTGAGTAACAGTTGGCAAGCGGTAACATAAGGAAGTATCCTATAAATTTATACACGTAGATGAAGGAGAATACGGTACATTAGAAGAGTATCAATTTCTCTCAATTTAAGATTAACACAGATGAATTAAGAAATGTTTGGATCGGTTAGTATTTATTTAAAGATGATATTTTTTTTTGTGTAAGCTCTTGACCTATTTCTTATTTTCTTAGGACTAAAATATAATGTGTCGGTTGCCTGCCCCACTAGTTGAACCTCTGTATTTGGAAAAGGCACCGGAGCAGCACTATCTTGAACTTGGTCAACCACAACCCGTGTCCAGTCTGTCTGTAGAGGGACACTATGGATGGTTGAGTCACCCTCAAATACTCGGCCAATAGCCACTAACCGTGGGGGGTCATCATCAACATATAACTCACACTGGCTTGGTACATCAATGTGAGTCTGTTCTGCTAAGGGATCTAGAGCAGCACAACTCCCTTTAGTGCTGACTTGAACACCATCATGAGCAACTACAGTCTGTTGCTGAGAACGAGCCAAAAGTTCAAACTTCTGTTCAAACTCTTCTCGAATGTTCTTCAATTTCTCTTCAAACTGCATCTCCATTCTTTGCATAGCCTCTTGACTACAATAGTCAACAGTGCTCCTCGATGATCGTGCACCAAAGAAATCTCGATGGCTCCAAGAGCCACCAACACCATGCACACGGCCTGCGTGCCCTGGCCTTCATATGGCCATTGTGAGGATATCATCTCGACCATGGGAAACAAATGAGCCCTGGGTGGTCTGCTCAACTAAACCCTCCTGCAACATATTAACAATAAGTATACCCTAAACTATACTTATGAATTAAATGAGTTGAAATGAAGAGTCTTAGTTTGTATATTTTTACTTACTATTTTATCAAAAATGACCTTTGCAGACTTAGAAGCCATTTACCCATCTAATTTTGTTCAGGCTGCTATCCACATCTCATGGCGGGGAGGTGACTCCACACGGTCAGCAGACTCAACCCCTGCTGCCTCTACCCTAGCCTTCATCATTTTTTTTAATTCATATCCCCCTCTTGACAATAGATGAGGTGCATCATTCTTGCTCTGTCTTTCTTAGACAACTATTTTTTTGGCCTGCAATAATACAAAAAATAAAATGAGATTAATTAAAATATACCTTAAGTATTTGTGTCAATGTAAGAGTTATCAATAACTAACCTGCCAAGAAGGGTCCAATCGAGTGGCACGAAATTGCATCCACTCTTCATCAGTGATCTGGTACTTTAGACAGGGAGTCTCATTTTGTCGCTCTCCAAATACATACTCCAGTGTCAAGAAAGTCTTGAAGTCTCTCCACCTAGTGGCAAGGGCAGATAACATCTTCCTCCTCATGACCTCAGTGTTGGGAATGTCAAAATTTTGCTATGAAAATAACAAATAATAAATAATGTATTTAAGTTATATAATATTGAAGGGATGTGAAAATATATACCTGAATATCCTGCCACATGAGGTTCTTGTCAGCCTCCTGAACGTCATCCCATGATGGAATGATAATATATAGAAACATGCCGTCAAGCTAGGACTCCCAAATAGCTCTTAAACTTGGCAGCATTTGGGCATGATGCCTTGCCAGAATAAGGATCCACCTCAACTGATGTCCTCTCCTTGGCAATGCATCCAACTGTCAACCCAGACAATCGGGTGACAGATCTACCTTCCCTCCTTCCACTGCTAGACCTTTAACATAATTTTATAATGTCATTCATGAGTTTTAAGCAAATAAAACAAGTTCTAAATATGAGTTTCAAACAAGTAAAAAACACACATATGTTTCAAGCTAACTTGTAAGTTCAAACATATAACAAATTACATAACAAAACTACAAATAACATTTAAACATAATATCAAAATATCATGCAATAACAACTAACGAAAAAATTATTGTAAATTAAATTAACCAAAATCAATATAATAATGAGCAAATCAAAGAGTAGTCAATCCTCCTCATTGCCAGTAATAGAATTTATTTAATAATAAATATCAAAGGAGCAATACACTATCTTTATTTTTTAATTAGTCACCACACAGAGAGCTTCCATAGAAGTCTCAATTTAGATGCTTAATGCAATGCCACCCTCACTTTGAGAGAACAAAACTCACTCAAAGCGCCTCAAAATTCACTTAAGATAAGCAACGTCAAGGATCATCCCCTGAACCTCCAATTCCTTTGTTCTAAGTGAGTGAG